AAAGTCAGTGGACGAGATGGGTATGGCTGAAGAAAGACATGACAGGCCAAAACTAGAGCGTACAATCTGGGGGATGAGGTGGAACAGCTGAAGAGGATGAGCAAAGCAGATCATCCATGCTCACGAGACCCAACTCTACCAACAAGCCAAAGCAATGCAGGACGTGCAGGCGTAACTGAGAGGAGTGATACATCACTGCTCAATGAGTCTGAGGAACTAATGGCACAGATTCAGACAAGGAACTGCAAAATTTGACAAGTCAGGTCGCTGAACTCAAAGACATGACTGAGAAATTCGCTGCAGCATTCTCTTTATCTTCCTACAAAAAGTGGAAGCCAAGTCACAATTGATAAAGAAGGAGACCGAAAACACTGCTGCTTGAGAAGAATTCTGAATTGGAAGTTTGTTTGGGAAATCTCAAAGAAAATGGAGGAGTTTTCAAAGAAATTTAGCTAACGGGACAAACAGCTGCAAGAAGAGGCTCAAGAGAAGATTCTAATGCAGCAGGAGATCCAAGGAAAAAGACATGAAGATGGATGAGATGAGAGACGTGATAAAAAAGTCTAGGGACCAGTAGATCCAGCTGATTCTGCAGGTACGGGAGATTCAGGGCCGACTCCAAACAGAAGTAGCACTCCTGCACTGTCCTCTAAACCTCTAGTGGGGGAACATGTCAGAACCCATGCTAATGAAGTCAATGACATATGTCTTTGCATGAAAAAAATAATATTCACTAACACATTTTCTTATGCCTTGTTTTATGATCGAGTTGACTATTTTCCAATGCACTGTTCTTTAAACAGATTCTTTTAGCAGAGAATATGATGTCTTTATTTGAACATTGTGTTGAGCTGAATCAAAATTTGATTGAGGGAGCTAAAGCTTTTCAAAGGGAGTAGATAATTTAGTTTTTTCAAAATGAAATGAAATGTTACAGTATCCAAATTGTTATCAGTTAAACAGACAGCAATTTTGTATTATTTTTAATCTTTTTTTTTTTTTTTTCAGAAAATATCTAAAAATGTTTGGTCCATGTTTTACTTTTTCCTGCTAAGCTTTTATAGACTACAGCTGGCTATTGTCTGTGTTGCGATGCACCGTCACCTTCAGACAGGGCCTTTCTCTATGAAGTTATGTTCTCCCCGTGTCTGTGTATGATTCCTCTGGGTGCTCCGGTTTCCCCTTCCACTAAAAACATGTGCAATAGCTTAGTGAACAAATGGGGATGATCGGAGGCCCCTGGAGTCGCTTCTGTGCTGTGTGTGAAGTGAATGGAAAGTATCTGTACGTCCAAAACATTGTAAAGTGCTTTGAATAAGCTTTGAATCTGCCACATGAATAAAGAAGACATACTTACTGACTTATAGGGAACATGTATGCAAGACTTTGTGATTTTGCATTGCTGATTTGTGTTGTTCACAATCTGAAATTGGCATCTTGATTGATTCGATTAAACCCTAACCCTGTATTTAAATGTTACTGTGACTGTCTCAAAGTGTGTCTTAGCTGATGTAGTGTGCAAGTGTAATGAAATGATCTTGTTTTGCTGTAACTGTCAGCTGGACTGTCACTATTTCCTGCTCCGCTTTAATAGACTGCAGCTGGCTAAATACCTCGCACAGTAATTGAGATTGAAAGACACAGTCATGACTCCACTTTTAATTCAATTATCATGCAATCTTTTTTAATAATGATTTGTCGGCCGCATGGTCTTTTTGCTTTTGTAAATGAAACAAAAAGTCTTCATCAACATAAAAACCAAGCCTAAACTTGTAAAGTAAATAACAGTTAGCAAGAGACAATGTGTGCACAGCTACACAGAAGTTTTGGTGCCTGGATTTGAACATTGTCAGGGAAGACTGTCTCACATTTTCAGGAATAATGTTCCATATTTTAGTTGCATAAATCTGAAACGCTGCCCCCCAGACCACAAGTTATAAAAGGCCTTGTTCCAACATGATTAGTTGTAAACATGATATCTTATGCAAACTTTGTTGAGACATAGCCCAGCGATTCACTATTTGTTGTTTTTGTCTGATGATTTGTTGAGTGAGATTGGTTCTCTAGATTAGTTTTTTCAGCGAATGATGTGACTGAAGCCAAAAAGACACCAGTGAAGAAAACAAGTGATGGAACTATCCAGAAACAAGTTACATTGATACGATCACATAGTTCTATTTTGTTGTGGTTGTAATTTTATAGAGCTGTTAAGATTAGTAGATCCTTTATTTGTCCCACAGGAAATTTCAGTGTTTCATCACCAGTTACAGAACAATAGGCCTGAGGAGCACACAGCTCAAAATAAATGAACAATATCGCTATACTAAAATAAAATGAAATCTCTTACAAAATAAATAAGCAAGAATAAATTCAAACTGTAGCGTAATAAAGAAGCAAAAATTAAAGGAGCTATGCCCGTTTCTGCAAGGTTTGAATGTTTAGCAACGCCCCTCAACTCGTTCACAGGCTTCTCATTTCCTCTACGCTCTCCTCCCACGGAGCCATCAAGTTTTTTTTCCGATCTGATACATATTCAAACATTAGCATTAGCACAACTTCTTGTAAGCTGTACAACAATCACTGATGAAATTGTGCAAAAGCAACGCACTGCTAACAAAATATATAACTGAAAGATTACCGCTAGTTTCACATTCAAATGTATTCCGAGCATAGATAGTCCGAGCATAGATAGTCAGAGGCGGTCCCGCACCCGCAGGTCTCTTCCATAGACTGCCGTAGACTAGTCTCTCCAGAGGATACGATGTAAGCTAGCTATGTTCACTCGGGCTTGATTTCTTCCTTGATCATTTTTTCGCTTTAGCTCCCTCTTCTCTTCCTCACTGTTGCGTCGTTTGGACTGTTTTGCTGTGTCTGCAGATACAGCCAGAGGAGTTATAGCCAATTCTGTTAACATGCTATTGTGTTTACCAGCACTGTAGAGGCTAGAAGACGCAGCCTTGTTCTGTGAGTGGAGGAGAGCGAGCGTCATGCCAAGTCTCTACTCAGCACTTTTTACGGCCTAAAATCATACACAATCTGAATCAATGAGCTCAAGTTTTCATTTAAATTATGGATTATACTACAACTTGTATATAGTCGTAATCACCAAAACTCATTAATATGTCTTTCTCTGAGAATCTGTTCCCAAGTATCTGGAAATCTTCTATCATCATTCCTATTTACAAAAGCGGTGACCCTCGATCCATGGACAATTACAGACCCATCAGCATCCTACCTTCAGTCTCTAAAATAGCAGAAAAATTAGTTGCAGAACAAATATCCCTTCACCTTCACACCACACCCTACAGTCTCCACCCAATGCAGTTTGGCTTCAGAACCCACCATTCCACCGAAACAGCCACCTGCTACTTCACAGAGAACATCAGAGCACTGCTGGACAGGGGAGGGGTGGTGGGTGCTGTTTTCTTAGACCTCAAAAAAGCATTCGATACAGTTAACCACAAAATCCTTCTGGCCAAATTACACTCATTCAACTTCTCTCCCTCTCTCATAAAATGGATTGAATCATATCTCTCACATCGCTCGCAGCAGGTCCGTATCCAGTCTCACCAGTCTTCACCTCTCGGTCTCTCCACCGGTCTTCCTCAAGGGTCCACATTAGCTCCTCTACTTTTCTCCCTCTACATTAACGACCTCCCATCTGTCTGCAACACTCCCATACTCATGTACGCCGACGACACAGTTATATTCACACATGGCAATAACACTTCACAGGTTGCTGAAAAACTCACTAACTCCATGGCTCACATTTCATCCTGGCTCAATCACTCCTGTCTCAAACTTAATACATCCAAAACAGTTGCAATGTTCTTCTCCAAATCTTACAAGTCTCTCCCATGCACAGATCCAGATGTTTTAGTTTCAGGCAACAGGCTACAGATCGTCACAGAATACAAATACCTTGGAATAATAATTGACTCACACCTTTCATTCAAAGCTCACATTAAAAAAACATGCAATAAAATTAAATACAACCTCTGCAACTTCAAACACATCCGCCACCAAATGTCTACACCAGCAGCCAAAATGTTTATGCACTCCATGATTCTGTCCCACATCACATACTGTCTCCCTACCTGGTCCCTAGCAAACACCACAGCCCTGAAACCCCTGCACTCACTCTACAAACGGACGGTAAAAACCCTGGACAAGAAACCCCATCACTCTCACCACTGTCCCATACTACACAAACACAAACTTCTCACTCTCAATAACATGGTGAAGTTCTCCAATCTCTGTCTGGTCTATAAAATCCTTCATGGTCTTTCATCCCCACCTCTCAGTCAGTTCATCAATACCAGAAACAGCACCCACACCAGGACTAGGGGGGCAGTGAGAGGGGACTGTATCACCCCCCTCAGGAAAAGCACATTTGGTCAATCTTCATTCTCCGTCCGTGCCACCTCAGATTGGAACCTCCTACCCACAACTATCAGAAATGCACCCTCTTACCTCACGTACAAAACACAGTTAAAACACTGGCTCATTGATAATCACACCTGTCAGCACTGACTCCGCCTGCTCTCGCTGCCCCCTGCTGGCCGCATGCTCTGTGTGCGCCTGTAAGTGTTCTGTGTCTGTCTCCATGTGATCGTGTATTGTTGTTTGTTGAACGACGTGTGACTGAAGGTTTTAATGTCTTGTCCTTGTAAATATTGTAAATGTCTCACACTATTTTAACTGTGTAGCAAACACGTTTTTATCTTTTCAGGAGACATGGGACTACGGATGAAAAATAGCCGTTTGGCTAATTCTGGCATATTTACAGAAATGTTCATTAATATGCACTGTCCCAGTAATAAATAAATAAATAAATAAATAAATAAGTAAGCATTTTTTTTTACTAATTTGAAAAAAAATCGGGTGTAACATTTTGAGACATTCATCTTTTAAAAGTTGAATGTTGGCCTAAATAAAGGTAAACACCTGTTCTGGTAGAATCTAGCCTTCATCAACAGAGCTGTGCATGTGATCTTCAGGCCAGCCGCTTCCGGAAGTGCGCTGGTTCCACGACGGACAGGAGGTGACGGAGACTGAGGACTTCCATCTGCTCAGAGAGAAGAACCGCTGCACCCTGCTCATCCAGGAGGTGTTCCCCGAGGACAACGGCTCCTACAGCTGCAGAGCCTGGAACCAGCACGGGGAGGCCAGCACCCACGCCAGGCTCACCGTGGAAGGTAAAGTGTATTTGAATGATTGATGTGATGACCAAATAAAAACAAAGTTACAGTTCACTCATGTAATATATTATAATGTAATTTTTATGTCTGTACTAGAACAAAGTCAACAAGACTTCAGCCAATTATGCAATCCAGATTTTTATTTAAAAACATGTAAAATACAACTTCACAGAATAACATATCAGACTTATACATGCTTCGATAAAATGCAGTTATGTGTTATGCTCTCTCTGGCTGCACTGTTGCTAATCCTGTTTTGTTTTCTTCTTCTAAGCTATGTAACAGTTGTTGTTCCTACTCTAAAGCTGTATTTCATGATTCACCTAATGCTCTCCTGCATTCCAACCACCACTGCTTGACATTCTCTGTTTTTAAAGCCACCGCTACACAGACCTTATTTTAAGGGGCATGATCCATTTTTGTATGTGAAAGTTGTATTTATGCACCTTTTAACCTTGTGATTCACAGGCCTTTACTTTGCACCAGAGGTCTGTAGAATCATTAGTTTGGAAAGTTTTCTCTAATGACAGACCTCCTCACTAGAAAACCAACAATTTAATAGATCCTGGAGCATTGGAGACACAACTCTTGAATCCACTGAGTCGCTACAATGTCAAATACACAAACAAGAACACTTTCTTTCATACACAAAGTTGCATAAGGCATTTCTAAAATTTGTTTCTGTGCTGCTATGTTTGTTGTGATGACATTTATAGTGATAGAGTGCTGAAATCTACAGCTATTTTTTATATACGTAAATCAGCCCATCGTCGATCATAGTCTTTTCGATCAATATTGTAAATGTTTTCAAATTATCCCATGTTCTCCTTAAGAGAGGTTGCATTATTTATGTATTCCTTTACCTTTACCCACTATTGTCCAGCACAGTCACACCCTCTCCGGTAACACTTTACATTACGGGCCGGTAAGTCCATGGTACTTACAGTGGTACTTCTAGGTACTTACAGTGGTACTTCTAGGTACTTACGGTGGTACTTACGGTGGTACTTACGGTGGTACTTACGGTGGTACTTACGGTGGTACTTACGGTGGTACTTACAGGGGTACTTACGGTGGTACTTACGGTGGTACTTACGGTGGTACTTACAGTGGTACTTACAGTGGTACTTCTAGGTACTTACAGTGGTACTTCTAGGTACTTACAGTGGTACTTACGGTGGTACTTACGGTGGTACTTACGGTGGTACTTACGGTGGTACTTACGGTGGTACTTACAGGGGTACTTACGGTGGTACTTACGGTGGTACTTACAGTGGTACTTACAGTGGTACTTACAGTGGTACTTACAGTGGTACTTCTAGGTACTTCTAGGTACTTACAGTGGTACTTCTAGTGGTACTTCTAGGTACTTATTGTGGTACTTACAGTGGTACTTCTAGGTACTTACAGTGGTACTTAGAGGTACTTATTGTGGTACTTACAGTGGTACTTCTAGGTACTTATTGTGATAATTCTAGATACAGCTGTAACTTAGTAATTCAAGGACACTACAGTATTATTCCTATGTAGTAAATGTGGTACTTCTACATACATACATACAGAGGTCATTTGTAGGATTGTTTGACTATAAAACATAAAACAACATTATGTAAAACAAACGTCTTTATTAATATGGAATAAGTAGCACAGAAAGGACAGTATAAATACATGTAATGCATATTTCAAAACAAGTTTCGAGGACAAGGGAAACACTGCAAGAACTAGGTACCCAACCCAAGTAACAAGAATTACACATTACCAGGTACTTACCAGCCAAGTAACAGGTACTTACCAGCAAGTACCAGGTACTTACCAGCAAGTACCAGGTACTTACCAGCAAGTACCAGGTACTTAACAGCAAGTACCAGGTACTTACCATAGGGACTGGCCCATAATAAGACAAAGGACTTTAACATAAGTACCAGTGATAACACCAGTAATTATATAGTAAGTACCAGGTACTTACCATAGGAACTGGCCCATAATAAGACAAAGGACTTACCCATAAGTACTAGTGATACCAGTAATTATATAGTATACCATGTACTTACCAGCAAGTACCATGTACTTACCAGCAAGTACCAGGTACTTACCATAGGGACTGGCCCATAATAAGACAAAGGACTTTAACATAAGTACCAGTGATAACACCAGTAATTATACAGTAAGTACCAGGTACTTACCATAGGGACTGGCCCATAATAAGACAAAGGACTTTAACATAAGTACCAGTGATAACACCAGTAATTATATAGTAAGTACCAGGTACTTACCATAGGAACTGGCCCATAATAAGACAAAGGACTTACCCATAAGTACTAGTGATACCAGTAATTATATAGTATACCATGTACTTACCAGCAAGTACCATGTACTTACCAGCAAGTACCAGGTACTTACCATAGGGACTGGCCCATAATAAGACAAAGGACTTTAACATAAGTACCAGTGATAACACCAGTAATTATACAGTAAGTACCAGGTACTTACCATAGGGACTGGCCCATAATAAGACAAAGGACTTTAACATAAGTACCAGTGATAACACCAGTAATTATATAGTAAGTACCAGGTACTTACCATAGGAACTGGCCCATAATAAGACAAAGGACTTACCCATAAGTACTAGTGATACCAGTAATTATATAGTATACCATGTACTTACCAGCAAGTACCAGGTACTTACCAGCAAGTACCAGGTACTTACCAGCAAGTACCAGGTACTTACCAGCAAGTACCAGGTACTTAACAGCAAGTACCAGGTACTTAACAGCAAGTACCAGGTACTTAACAGCAAGTACCAGGTACTTACCAGCAAGTACCAGGTACTTGCTGGTAAGTACATGGTATACTATATAATTACTGGTATCACTAGTACTTATGGGTAAGTCCTTTGTCTTATTATGGGCCAGTTCCTATGGTAAGTACCTGGTACTTACTATATATTACTGGTGTTATCACTGGTACTTATGTTAAAGTCCTTTGTCTTATTATGGGCCAGTCCCTATGGTAAGTACCTGGTACTTACTGTATAATTACTGGTGTTATCACTGGTACTTATGTTAAAGTCCTTTGTCTTATTATGGGCCAGTCCCTATGGTAAGTACCTGGTACTTGCTGGTAAGTACATGGTATACTATATAATTACTGGTATCACTAGTACTTATGGGTAAGTCCTTTGTCTTATTATGGGCCAGTTCCTATGGTAAGTACCTGGTACTTACTATATAATTACTGGTGTTATCACGGTACTTATGTTAAAGTCCTTTGTCTTATTATGGGCCAGTCCCTATGGTAAGTACCTGGTACTTACTGTATAATTACTGGTGTTATCACTGGTACTTATGTTAAAGTCCTTTGTCTGGCGTCTATTATGGCCAGTCCCTATGGTAAGTACCTGGTACTTGCTGGTAAGTACATGGTACTTGCTGGTAAGTACATGGTATACTATATAATTACTGGTATCACTAGTACTTATGGGTAAGTCCTTTGTCTTATTATGGGCCAGTTCCTATGGTAAGTACCTGGTACTTACTATATAATTACTGGTGTTATCACTGGTACTTATGTTAAAGTCCTTTGTCTTATTATGGGCCAGTCCCTATGGTAAGTACCTGGTACTTACTGTATAATTACTGGTGTTATCACTGGTACTTATGTTAAAGTCCTTTGTCTTATTATGGGCCAGTCCCTATGGTAAGTACCTGGTACTTGCTGGTAAGTACATGGTATACTATATAATTACTGGTATCACTAGTACTTATGGGTAAGTCCTTTGTCTTATTATGGGCCAGTTCCTATGGTAAGTACCTGGTACTTACTATATAATTACTGGTGTTATCACTGGTACTTATGTTAAAGTCCTTTGTCTTATTATGGGCCAGTCCCTATGGTAAGTACCTGAGTACTTACTGTATATTATGGGTTATCACTGTACTTATCCCTATGGTAAGGGTACTTGCTGTTAAGTACCTGGTACTTGCTGGTAAGTACCTGGTACTTGCTGGTAAGTACCTGGTACTTGGGCTGGTAAGTACCTGGTAATGTGTAATTCTTGTTACTTGGGTTGGGTACTAGTTCTTGCAGTGTTTCCCTTGTCCTTGAAACTTGTTTTGAAATATGCATTACAATGTATTTATACTGTCCTTTCTGTGCTACTTATTCCATATTAATAAAGACGTTTGTTTTACATAATGTTGTTTTATGTTTTATAGTCAAACAATCCTACAAATGACCTCTGTATGTATGTATGTAGAAGTACCACATTTACTACATAGGAATAATACTGTAGTGTCCTTGAATTACTAAGTTACAGCTGTATCTAGAATTATCACAATAAGTACCTAGAAGTACACTGTAGTACCACAATAAGTACCTCTAAGTACCACTGTAAGTACCTAGAAGTACCACTGTAAGTACCACAATAAGTACCTAGAAGTACCACTAGAAGTACCACTGTAAGTACCTAGAAGTACCTAGAAGTACCACTGTAAGTACCACTGTAAGTACCACTGTAAGTACCACCGTAAGTACCACCGTAAGTACCACCGTAAGTACCACCGTAAGTACCACCGTAAGTACCACCGTAAGTACCACCGTAAGTACCACCGTAAGTACCCACCGTAAGTACCACCGTAAGTACCACCAGTAAGTACCACCGTAAGTACCACTGTAAGTACCACCGTAAGTACCACTGTAAGTACCACCGTAAGTACCACTGTAAGTACCACTGTAAGTACCACTGTAAGTACCACGTAAGTACCACCGTAAGTACCACCGTAAGTACCACCGTAAGTACCACCTGTAAGTACCCCTGTAAGTACCACCGTAAGTACCACCGTAAGTTACCACCGTAAGTACCACGTAAGTACCACCGTAAGTACACACTGTAAGTACCTAGAAAGTACCTTGAACTGTAAGTACCTAGAAGTACCACTGTAAGTACCAGACTTACCGGCCCGTAATGTAAAGTGACATTACCCATGAATAGAAATTGTGTTAAAGTAGAATCAAAGTGTCTTAACCATAGAGAGTAACTACTGCATTACAAGCTGTGTACAGGAACTGAGACACTGCACCATTGACCAGAAGTGCATCGCAAATGACCTGATGTGCTTCAAGTGAAAAGACTGTATCTGGAGATCTGATGTGCATCTGGAGACCAGAACCAGAACCATGGCTTGGACCCTACTGATGTCCAAGATGACCTGACCTGATGACGACTGAGACTCACCCTCAGGGGACCCTGAGGACCTGAGGACCTGAGGATCTGAGAGAGAAAACTGGGGAGTGATGTTTATATTTTTGAAATCATACATAGATGAGTGCTAAATGAGACAGATACTCATGATTCTTTCTTTTGTTTTTGTTTGTCCCTAGCTTCTGGACATCTGATGATCTATTGGACACAGCCATTTGCAGAACAAGAACCAGCCAATGAAAAAACGTCTATTGCCGATGCTATTGCTAAAACCAGAACCTGTGACAAATGCAATATACATGTTAAGTATTCAGACATCTGACAGACAAAAACTTTGAAAATGATAAAGTATGAGTATTGTAGCGTTTTAGTAAATGTTAAATAGTAGTAAAAAAGTAGAATTGTCCTTCCTTTGTTCTTCATAAACACATTTCCACATAAGAGTTAAAATAGTACCCTACAATGTTATCCTTTTGATAGATCAGCTATAATATTAGAATCAGAATAATGTTACAGCCATTGAAAGTGACAGAAGTCACAAATTAGGAATATGCCTTTGCTCAAACTGCAGCCAAACTTTGGAGTCACAATAGTGTAAAAATAGAGATAAATAGATGCATCAACCATAGATGCTTTCAAAAATAGAGATTATTCTTAGCCAGTGCTAATATCAAATGGTAAAGGGACCATTTCACAAGCATTTACTTCAAAAGTAGATAAAGTTAATTACAGTTTATGTACAGTTTTATTAGATACCTTCCAAATTCACTTGTGTTCAAACATGAGTGAATGTTGACAATGCAAAAGTTCATATGAGTGTAGCCTAGATTAATGCCTAGATCAATGAAATAGATTAGAACCAAGAGAGATTCAAAAGCATTTTGATGTATTTGTGTATAGCACAAAAACACAATAGTAGATATTTAGATATTGAGAAGTTTCCAGCACAAACACCATTGTAGAATAACTGACCCCAACCCCAAACCTGCTAAAATAGATTAGCTCTTGTAAGGATAATACTAATTTGATTAATGATGTACATTCATCCCAAACTGCCTGACAATAATATCTTTAGATAATAAAAAGTAATAAATCACTGACCACTATAGAAGTGTAAATGTTGACCATTTGCCTTACTGTGTTCACAGTTTTATTCCTGAGAATGAGAATAGTTCCACATGGAGCAAAATCCCACTGATAATAAGCCACTGATAATGAGAGTATAATACCACAGAGAGAATAAAATGTATGTTTAAGAATATGGCTCAATAGAAGCAAATATGCAAACATATTTGTAAATAGATTAGAATAGTTTTAAACTATAGTGAATAGTGAAAGTAAAGTACACAGTCTAAGATTAAAAAGTGAAAATAATACAGTGAAATAAGTGAAGTGTAAACAATTATCATTAGAATAAAAGTATAAAGTAATAAAAGTGAAATTAGCTTCAAATTTGAGACTCAGCTCGTTTTTGTCTGTGTTTTGACTGAATCTGCTGAGTTCTTGTGTGTCCAATAGTTTTTGTTTGTTTTTATTTTTGTTTGTTTTTATTTTTGATTTGTTTTTGTTTGTTTGGTATTTTTCCAGGATAGAGGATAAATCACTGATATTGATTTGATGATAATGAGTTTAACGCATACTTTTTCTTGGTTTTTAATAATTTTTTTAAAGTTTTTTTTTAGGATTTTTTTTTTTTTTTTCTTTTCCACTTTATTGATTGATAAATTGAATGATCACATGTTATTATGTGATCAAAGGGGAGGAGTTTTGTTAGTTTTAGATAGCAATATGGCTACGTGCAGGACTGTACAAGGACTCTACCAAGGCTCATGTTATGATATGATGTGACTTGTCTCTTGTGACACGATGTCTTTCGATTTTGTGAACTTGACAATGACTATTATAAACTGTGTACTGCCTTTATTCGGTCTGAGAAAAAGAAATCAGAGTAGTAAACAGTGGAACTTCGAGGAGAAACTAAATAAACTTCCAGAGTTTGGCACACCACGATCCGTCTCTGTCTGCTTTTAAATCCTAACAAACGCAAAGACATGTGCGCCAAAACACACAAGTCACAACAGTATTCTATTGCACTGTATAGTATAAGTATATTGTCTGTTCTCTTTGAATTTATTGTAATTTTATAGTGTTTATCATTGTAACTTTTCTTATCTCTGAATTTACTGTATTGAGAATAATTTAGCGCACTAATGGTTGAAATACTGGCCCTGCAAGTTTCTAGTTACTATTATTCTTATATGTTTATTTGATACGGACAGAACAAAAAGCATTGTTACAAATTACCGATTCCATCTTCATAGGCCATATAGCTAACATCTAATTTGCAGACCTGGTCATTAAGAAATGATAACACATCACATCTACATAGATCATTCTCAAAACACAGATTACACAGTGAAAAATATGTAAAATAGACCGTCAGAGGTTTGCATTGCTCTCACGCGTTTGATTCCATTTGAGGTCTCCATCAGGTCTGTTAAAGAGTTCAAGATAGCTGTGCGGATTTCTCTCTTTTCATATTTTGCACCTTTTTTAAATCTAGTGAGCTGGATCAGGCTATTGGAATGTGTGGACTTATTTGAAACCTCCTTAAACACATTTGAGCATAAAACAGGGAGAGGAGAATGGATACAGTGATGGACCAAATATAACTTTATTTTCATATTTAAATAATGAAAAATAATATTGCAAAAAATAGTAGTCTGTATATGCATCTAAAGCAGTGGCTCCTTGCTCAGCAGGTGGTGTGCAGATGTGCTGATGGTTTGATGTGAAGCAGGTCATGAACTCCAACTCCCATAAGTCCTTTCTTCACACATCACTCACTGCACTAACGCTGCTCTGACAAGGCCAACTCCATCCCGACTTGGCCACTGATAACAGCAAGCTCTTCGAAGATTGTCTTATGTTTCTGAGAATGTGTATCGCCCACATATGACACATGTTTTTCACTTTTCTGTCTGAAAAATCTGATCTAAAGATGTGACAGGTCAAACATACAGTACATGTTTGTGGAAACCAATGATGGAAAAGCATGTGTCCTCTGAGCTGGAAGTAGCTGATCCAGGACACAAGACATTCAACAACATTTAAGGACATTTTTCAACATTTGATGCTTTGTGCCAAAAAACGTGCATGGCTCTCATGCACGTGCCCAGAGGAGCACGGCCACTATCTGACCAATCAGGCGCTGGTGATCAGAGCAAGAGCGGGAAGAAATCGAGCGTGTTGCACTAAAGTGTGCATTTAAAGAAAACCAATGGATTTAAGAAGCAAAAAAGTTCAGGTCGGCAAGGGACACAAAAATCCCCACAAAATCCGACCTTTATGAAAGCTGAGTTCAAAGGAGAAAAATTCAGGGTAGCCCAAATTAATTTAGTCTGCAGTACCTTGGGAAGCCCCCGAGCACATGGGTCCTTCAGCTATAAGTTAGTAATACCCTATCCAGATATTATAATAGATCCATGATCAAAACTTAACCCCAACTTTTTATATACCTTTTTGTGCTTCCTTGATACAGTGAATGGAGAGACTTTGTAAGCACAACACACTATTGTTTTTACATTATACATGCTTCAGTTACATGCATCATGTACATAATATATTATATAATTTTCATTTTTTAAGTACCCATGTGAAGTGTGTTATAATAGTTAAAAAGAAAAGGAACTTAAGTAAATTTCAACTTAAATTTCAAGTGAAAAATCAGAAGAACATTACTGATTTTACACTTGAAAAGGCAAATTGAATTGTTCTTAAGTTCCAATACAAATATCACTTTTGACCAAAGTACCAACTCAAATCAGTCTTTTTTGTGCTGGTGTAGATGTGTGTAAGAATGTACAGATGGTCCATTGGGGCTGCATGGGAGAACGGAAACACCTTCTGAAGCCTAAAGCTGAATTCCTGAGTGTGTCCATGTTTTGTGTTTCACCTCAGAACAATGAGCCTGATCTGTGCTCCACTGGTTCACATCACAAAACAGCTGCTGAGATCTGAGCAACTTTAAATAATCCTCAGCCCAGCAAAGCGCGTCTAACAGATCTGTATGGTCTTTTGGTCTTTTACTGGACGTGTTTTTGTAGAGAGCCAAGTCTGGGGGCAGAACCCTTATGTCCCATTATTTATTTATTGTATTATTTATTTATTTGAAAAAGGGAGTTGGCGGAAGCAAGAAGCTGATGAGCATCTCGATCCCGCAAACTCTTACAATCAGACGTTTCATATCACAATAAGATTGTACAGAACAAGGACACAAAAGCAGAAAAGACTAAAAGAGATTCTGAAATCTCAGTGCGACTTTCCTGGTTAAATGAAGGTCAACCAAACTTTTTAACTTTTACATACTGAGAGCTGATTGGCTAAGAGAGGACCACCCTCTTAGCCAACAAACAGATCAAACAGATCCAATGTGACAGAGCCCAAAAATACATCCTTGTATTTTTTTTTTAGAGCTTGGTCTAGTTCCTACCTCTCAAAACCGTTCAATTAAGTTTATTACATCTTTATTTCTTAGTGGTGTCAAAATGAGGTCCTCCAGCATTAGGACGCCATAACTGATGATTCCCGTCTTCCTCCCTTACCATTAAACGCCATGGCGGCGTTGTACAGGAAGTGCAATGTTGAACTGTGATGGCTGGTAGGTGCTAATCAACGCAACCAATGTTAAGCTTAGTGGGCGTGTTTCTAAGAGTAAGTAAGTAAGAAGTGATGGATACTGGGGCTATGTGTCCTCACCTTGCCCTCCAGTCGGGCGTCTCCTCCCAGAGCGACCCGAGCGTTTCGAGGCGGCAGGACAAAAGCTGGAGGCTGGCTGCCATGGGAACCGCCTCCCGTCACTGTGGAGATTGCAGAGGAGGCGGAGGCAAGGCGCATGCCACTCATAGCCCTGACAGAGACACATAAATATATCATTAAACTCAAAAACAATACCAGAAAAATGTGTTAATTTTGAAAAACAGGCACTTTTCTTAACTACATTTCTATGATGAGTAGAAACAAAAGTGCCATTATATACGGTTTATGGCCAATGAGAGGGAAAGTATGTTTGTGTGTAGTTCAAAGACAAATCCGGGTGAAGAGATGGTCAGTGAACACATCTCCTTGTGACTGTGTGCACATGTATGGACTTAAAAGGAAACACGCTAACAACAGTAGAGCATAAGGTTTACATGACTCACTGAAGGATTGTGAGAGAATAATTAGCTTTTAACAACATACAGCTTTGTCACTCGCACACTCGCCATCAACATGTGACTCGGCAGGTCAACTCTTGAGATTTGAAGAAAACCGTTTTGTTTATATCCCCAGCTGTTTGGAATCACCAGTCTTTGGCATCAAGGCAAGCTAATAATAGATATGGCTCACTCCATTAGTCAATCTAACTTCAAGCGACAATAAAATAAATGTATGAATTAAAAATGTTTGTAACTAAACATTTTTTAATACTATGTAGCATATATATACATACACATACACATACATATATACATATATACACACATACATATATATATATATACACACACATACATATACATAGTTCCCACATGACGTCACTACATACGGGGATTTGCCGACCCGGCACCATTTGTGTTGGCATTCTGTGGGCAAAACAATAGAAAAAGAAGCTGAAACGTGTTAATGTCGTGATAAAGTTGAAAATGGTCATCTCCTGCTGGGTCAATGGATGTTCAAATCGTGCCGGAGGTTCCGTTAAACTTGGATTTTACAGTATACCCATCATTAGACTTCATGAATGTGAGAAGACTAAGCTTTTGTCAGAACAACCACGGAGGTTATGGCTTGCGAAGATAAACAGGCAAGAAACTCCCTCAAAACACGCAAGAATATGCTCGGAGCACTTTGTGTCAGGTGCGTATCGTATCTTATAATGTGTTGACAGACGTAATTTACTCAGTACTAACTTGTGTATGCTGATATCTGGTAACTTGAGAGTTTCATTATTTAGCGTTAGATTACTTTATTATGAGGAGGATCGGTGTCGCGTCCGAGGCTCTCGAGGGCAACGTAAATGTATTAAATAGATAATAATAGTTCTATGGTGGGCTAAAACAATGTTCACAAACAGCATTGCTTCTGTAAAAAGATCTGTGTCATAAAATAAACTGCTCTTTACGCCTGGAAAAATCAGTTGCCCACCATTCACCAAAACATACGGTCAAAAACGCGGAAATAAACAATAACAGCAATCCAGAGTGTCCATGTGGCATTAGCATTAATTAAATTAATTGTTAATATAATTAAAATAATTAAATGGAGCTCCAACTGGTATTAAATCTAAAGTTTTTGAGAAATGTTTGCATTGCTTGTTAATTTTTGCTGCATAATTTGATCAAATATGTAAAACATGTCCGTAGCACGTTAAACTGTGGTGCCATTGTATTAATATACAATTATTTGCTCAAAAGTTGCCCTTTTTTTCCAATTTTCGTTTGAATATCTACATTTATTCTCATTCTTCTGTTTAATGGAATGCACAAACACAGCAGCGTGCCATCAAAGATGGCGTCTCCGAGGAGGTCATGTGACATTCATTGGTCTGTGGGAACTATGTATATATACACACATACATATACACATACATATATATACACACATACATATACACATACATATACATCTCAGAAGGGCAGCTAAAACTATTTCAAGAAAAATGGAGGCCTTTCAAAAAAAAATTACGAACTTCGGGGACATAATTGTTACATTTAGGACATGTCATGTTGGAGGCTTTCTGAATGGAAGAATGAACAGGACAGAGAAGACAATAATAATAAATAATAAATCAATAATAATGTAATTATAGATTTTACATTATACGAAAAAAGAAAACAATTGTGTCCACTTTTGTTACGTCCAAAACGGAGCGCTGTTAATAATACGGGCATGAACGAATCTGCATTTAAGTAGAGCGTCATCCACTGGACAAACAAGCTGGAAACCAAACAAGAGTGGGTTTGTGAACATTCAGCGGCAATAGCCGCGGACATTTCGGGACTTTTTTGTGCCATTGACAAAAATGTAACACATTGAATCAGTTTAGTGTGGAGTGAGCCATATACCTTTGAGAAAAAAATAAAACAACAATGTTCATAGACAATATTTCTTCAGTTTTCTTCAAACTAGACAAGCAACCCCTTGTGGAGGCTAATAGGAATCCAATTATACAAATACATTATATAATTAAAGACATGTTCAATTAAGGTATTTTTGTAAAAAAAAAAAAAAAAGTAGATACACAAAAAGGAACTAAGATGCTAAAGATGAGCTGTAAACAAGCCTTTCACAAATAAAACAGCCACATGTATTTGTACTTTGGCTAACATCCTTCTGCTATTTCAAGTTTAATTCTACTCACTTTTTGATATTAAGAATACATAGTAAAATAGATAAATAAATACAATCCCACTTTCGCAATCACAGACTGAGGAGCCAATCGGTAAGACCCGCCTGTTTATACGCACTTTATCTGTTGTGTGTCTTGTATATGTGCTCTATTTGGTCACGTTTCAAAAACTATGTGAAACCGAGTAATGTTACAAAAATGCTCCTTTTGCCTCTCGATGCTAAATAAGGCCCTCACAGTGTATGTTTGCTCGGCTCTGGTTGGTGTCAAGCTTTAATCTCACATAAACAGATACTTCCCTCTTATCGCCACATGTTTTCACAGCAAACAGAATGTGTTGCCTTCCTTTGCCCGGCTGCCAGCGCCTTACATGGACTCAGAAGAAGAAATATAGAAAACTAATGGGACACTATAGAGACGGTAGACACTATAGAGACGCTAGACACTATAGAGACGCTAGTATGACTGCGATTGGAGCAGACCTGGGGAAAGTGAAAACCGATCTACGTTTCTATGTGGCCCTCCGATCTTTTCCCTTCCACATACAGTATACCAACTAGCCCCATTTAAATTAATGGACATCAATACCCAGTGAAGATTTGCAACTTCATAAGCACAACAACATGACATGACAACAACATGACAATGTTATTTCTCATCATAATTCATGAAAAAACTTTCATCCGTCCATTATAATGAGCCTTCTGAAATCTGAAGACAACAAAAAAATAGAATCCATATTTAAAAAGATAATAATTTCCTCAAAGTTTGGGGGCAACAGTGGCTCAGTTGGCCTTTGACCTGAAGGTTGGGGGTTCGAGCCCATCAAGCAACCTTTTCCACCGACTCGCACTAATGTCTGCTGTCATTGTGTTCTTGGGTAGGACATCCCACTTTGCCTGAACCCCCTACTGAATTATCAAGGCTAATGCTCTCACCGACTATATGAACTCAAGAGGGCACTGGTCAGTTATTGGTCACTGGTCAAAAAACTACTAGAACTCTAAGAACCGTCTTTTTGACTGCTCCCATTCAAATCAAAGGAATTCTAAGAATTTCACCCCAAAAAGTTAAATTTTTCATCTTAACTCACTTTTTCTAAGAGCCTAACTGGTGAATATAACTTGAAACACCACATGCTAATGGTTAGCAAGTAAGAGTGTTGCTATGGTAACAAACTGCTAATGTTTCAAAACAAAAGATAATTTCATTAAAAAAATTGCGTAAACACATAGAAACAGAAAAAGTCCAGAACATGACCAAACATGTACACCAGCTGAGTAATTAGTCTCAGTGGAAAGAGTAGTAACATTTTGTGAACAAATCAAATCACAAAAAAGCTGTTTGTGTCTCATTAGAAGTAGAGAAAGAACACTTTGGGAACCACTGGACAAAGTTGCCATCAATACATTATTCGATAAAAAAATCGCCTCAGACCTCTGAAGCTGTGCAGGGCAGGGTTTGGTTAGTACTGTGATGACCACGGACACACAAACCTACTGTATTTACAATTTGGTGTAACTTCCACTCCCTCCAAACGGTGAGGTCAGAAGTGCCCAACACCTGGTGACAACACTGGCCATCACCACACATTACATTCATAAACAAATTTACGTGGTTATAGTGGTCAGAACATCCAGAGGAAACCTACACAGACAGGGGGAGAACATGCAAACTCCACACAGAAAGGTCCTGTCTGGAGGAGGAATCATGCCCTTTTCCTCTCCCTTCAAAACATTAGAGCTCCTATGTTTGGGAATGAAACAAAGTCAATCACCACTTCTCACACACAGAGATAACAGCAGTTTGTTACCATGGTGATGGGAGATGCCACAGCGTGGACACTGTGTGGACTCAGGACTTGGAGCTAACAAATGAATAACTACGACTCACACAGGGGCAAATACTGTCCTCTCTAAAAAACAGATTAAAAGTGCGTCCAAATCATTAAAGTGAGATTTGTAACAGTTTCCACAGAAAATGTTACAAATTACTGTATTGATCTATTGTATTAATCGAATTGTTTAAAATTCTATTAACAAGATAGATTTAAATGGACATTATGAAAGAACGACACAATGAGCATTGGTGTTGAGTAAATTACTATCTGTCATCTTTCCAAAACTAAGCAACTTTTGTCCTAAGGTAATTGAAGTGGGATTAATTTAATCTTTTCATAAATCTTTCATCTGTTATCACTCTAAAACATGCATTTTGTTGACTTTGTTTGGGGGTATAGATTGTGCTTTCATGCTGTGAAAGTAAAACATTAGAGTTGGGTAGCTGATTGACCTTTTGTTTACATGAAGATGGTGTTTCATGTGAAAAAGCAAGCGTTGAGAAACAGCATCCAAAGTGGAACAGAACAGATATGCTGCGCAGCAGGGAGCTGTTTAGCACTCTACTTTAATTTAGCATATAGTTAGGCTGTTTGCCTGGATCGGTTTGCACACTTTGTGTGCAATCCATGAATCTTGGTGCTGTAGCCTAGGCTAGCCTAGCCGTGGCT